TATATATATATATATATAAAGTTAAAACTTTTATATATAATATTTTACTATTATATATGTTTCTTACCTTAATGTATTCACAAAGAAAAAGATGTTTGAATTTTCAATTCAAATTTCTGAATGCTCTCCGTGTGTCATGTTATCCTTATTCAACGTTTGATAAATAATAAGGATAATGATGTCTGATAACACTCGAGTGGAAATCTGAACTTTGGATCTAGAACAAAATAACAAATCATGATGACATGAAAATGGCTTCAAAATGATTAAAGTTTTTCGATCAATTACGATTTATTTTAAAAGATTTTTTTCATTGGAATTGAGAAAAATCGATTTTTAAATAATTGAATCTTTTAAATCTTATATGTGTGTGAAATTAATCCTTAAAGCGATTTTGAAAAAATAAATTTTTTTTGAAATAATACACATTTTGTGAGACGTTGCGCGGAACGAATAGAATAGATATTGAAATGCCAAATACATTGTATTCTTTTCAAGAAACCGGTGGCAGGTCTTCCTTAATTAGAGTAAGTCCTTATTAATTAGAATAAGTAGAGAGAACTGAAATGAAGCTTCGGCTATTATAATTGGCTATTACACATGCATAATATCTGTTATAACCATTTGGATTTGAAAATCAATTTTAAACTTTAAAGCCATTTTTCTCAAAACCATGTTTACAAAATCATGGAAAACTTCCTTGAAAAACCGGTTTAATTGAATTTGAAACTTTGCACAATTATTACACTGACATTTTTTTGTATTTTCTAGACCACAATTTGTTTATATTTATCAATTATTTAATTCTTTTTTTATTAACTGCTTGAAAAAATACTGGAAATCAAAACATAATTTTCATTTAGCTTCCATTTTGTTAAATTTCAATATTTTAATCCAAATGTTGGTTTAGAACTATTATATGTATACTTATGTAGAATACTGATCAAAAAGAACGATTAGAATATTTTAATTTTCGCAGGACTGTAGCGAGGAATTTCCGATATACGATTTTTATGTTATTTTTAATGCGGCAAGACGGGATTGAATTATTTGCTTCTAAAATTTATAAAAAAAGTTTTATCTTGATCGGGTATATAATTTATTCATAAACCACTTCTAAAAATCACATTTTTAAGCCTCTGAATAAAGAAGACTTTTAAATATCACATTAACATTATTATGACCTAACGTTATCCTGCTTGAATTTTTATTTAAATATACAAGTTTGTTTCTTCTCAGACGTTATATTTTTATTTCAGAAAAAGAAAGAGATGAAAGAATAAATTTATCGAATATATAAAATAGCATATGTAGAGGAAAGGCTCCTATTATGAGATACCGATTCATTTTAGGTAAATGCTAGAAGTCTATGGGCAGAATTAAAAAAATAATAGGTCATTTTGAAGGGAATTTAATAAGCTTTAAAATAATGTTACGCAAAATTTAGTTCAAATTATATATTTTTTTAAATTAAAGGAATGTAAAAAGTGAGCAAATTGCAAAATAAAAAAAATTATGCTCCTAATATGAGATGATCCGAGAAATCGATAATAAAACGCAAAATACATCAGTATTGCAATTAAAAAATTTCGTTTAATGTTTCTAAAACAAACAGCCAGTGTGTGCGCAAAATGAGCATGCGACGCATTATACCCAGGATCTTCGTCTTTAGGTAGTTAGAATCAAACATTGCAGGAACAGGCACTCGAATTTCATTCTAGTTATCTTTTTATTATTATACAATAACATTTATACATTAGCAACGATTTTTATTATGACATAGGAGCATAGATTATTTTACGTTAGAAATACTCTGGATATCTCATTATGATTTTCATGCCGGTTTCACGATCATCAAATCTAACTTCTATAATTAAACAATTCAATATATTCCATATTTTTCTATTAGTACGATCTTACTCTATCATTACATGGAGAATTTATTGCCAAATATTTATTTATTAAATAATAAACAAGGTTTAAAGGCTCATCTCAATGAAACTTGAAGACATCCAAATTTTAAAATCTTTTTTACAATGACTGTAGGTATGATCTAATAATGAATTTTCCACTAAATAATTTTCTGTTCAAGAGCAATAAATTCATGGTGGAACCAATAGATAGCGTTTATTAGTTTAACAGAAACGCCCCTATCTCGTATTAAGCGCCTATCATAATAGAGGACTTTCCTCTATTGATAAAAAACATATTTAGGTGATTTATCTGCCCGTTTCAATTTGTCCTTATTGATAGCGAGACAAACTGCCTCGTTTGTTTTTGTGCTTTGTCTCCTAAAGGGACTCTAGATAATAAATGTCTTGTAGTTGAGTTGCAAGTAAATGTTGAAAAACAATTTAAATTATAATATGTCGTTAAATAGCATCGCATGTATAGATTGACTGTATTTAATGATTTTATATTTACGACACTATCTAATAAAGTGTTATTATAGTTTACATTCTTTCGAAATTTACTTGCGAAATAATAAAACCTTTATTATCTGACTTATAATTGAAGACAATATTGAGATTTAAAGGCTAATGCGCGATTTACGCATTATCAATATTGTCCTCAATTATTCATATTTTGTGGACTTTCATGACTGATTTTATTTGTAGTGTCTCGGCGCTAAGCTACGAGCAGCGACACTGCTATAATTATCAAAATAAAGAGTCAGATAATAAACGTCTTATCATTCGCAAATAAATTTCGAAAGAAAATTTATGTATGTTTATTCATTTGTGTACAAACGACATTCAAATTTTATATAATTTTGAGCTGTCCAAACCTTTCCATCTCTCTTAACATATTCTTATCCGATAATGAGGAGTTATATTGTCAAAATCAAGGCCAATGTAGGTTATACCTCTAATTTTCATTTTTACGTAAAAATGAATTTTTAGTACAAAAATGAAATTAAGAGGAATAATCTCCAATAGTCTTGATCTTAAATATTATCCGATGATTCTGAAATATTCAAGAGATTTTAGCCGTTGGTCGGACACTTTGCGTAATGCTAATGCGGGCGATACTATAACTTTCAAGCCTTATAATTTGAAAAGTATTTAACGAAAAAATATTTTATTACATTTTATTATAGTGTACTTTGGAAAGCTTGAAATAAGCTATAAGACTATGTAATAAAAAAGGGGGGCGGGAGGAGTTACTGTTCAAAAAATTCAACTTGACCTTTATATGATCTTGCAGATTTGACCCAATGTCAACCTTTTATCATCAGTTACGTAGATTTTTTGAAGTCCTACAATTTTGCTTTTATATTTTTTTCTGGAGTTGATATTTTCGAGATATTTTAGCGTTTCCAGACTTTTCGAAGACCCTGTATATATAGTTGTTGACTTAACAATAATTAGGAATAAGGAAATATATAAAGAAATACGAAAGCTTGTCATAGGCTTGACAATAAATAAATATATGACCAATGGTTAAAGAAAAGAGCAAGACATAACCAAAGACATTAGCATTAAAATGAATTATTCATTAAAATAAATTATTCATTAAAGAGAATAACGACAAATAACTCCTCATTATTAGGTAAGAATGTGTTAAGAGAGATGGAAAGGTTTGGACAGCTGAAAATTATATAAAATTTGAATGTCGTTTGTAGACAAATGAATAAACATAAATTTTTTTTTCGAAGTTTATTTGTGAATGATAAGACATTTATTAACTGACTCTTTATTTTGATAACTATAGCAGTGTCGTTGAGACACTACAAATAAAATCAGTCATGAAAGTCCACAAAATATGAATAATTGCTACGCTGGCATTACTGTAACTTTCAAGCCTTATCGAAAAGTACTTCATGAAAAATTATTTTATTATAGTCTTTTGGAAAGCTCTCGTATGCTATAAGAATATGCAATGAAAAATAGGGGGTTTCATTTAAAAAATTCAACTTGACCTTCATATAACCTTGCAGATTCCATCCAAAGTTAACCTCTTATTATCAGTTAGATAGATTTTTTATTTTTTAG